TATATGTTTTCATTTATATAAATCCCATACTACTCATCCATTCCTTATATAAAACCATTCAAATTCCTATTCTCATCGTCATCGTCTTTCTAATCTGATATTCGTGATATATTCATTCGTATGTAGTAGATACATTTCCATTTTCATCTCCATCTCCATCTGCCTTTTTTTTCATCATTATTCCGTATTGAAATGCCCGTCCGTCCATAAATCCGTGAAATCATTAATAAAAAAAACTTCTCTCTTGATTCGAGAATTCCCGGGGAATGGGATATTGTGGAGTGAGAAAAAGAAGAGAAGTGAGGGAATGATGAGTTGAGTTGAGGTGAGTTGAAATACTCGTCAAAAGCTACCGAACCATGATAAATAACCGACCAACCGACCAACTAATTGGTTGAAAACCCGCTAAAAGAAGAGAAAGAGAAGAAGAGGAAAGAAAGAAGTGAGGTCTAATTTGGGAGGTTTGTTGGGTGCGTTTGATTGGAGTGAGTAGATGAGATGGGCTACGCATCGAAATCGAACGATATACCCTCAGAACACCAAAACCTGAATCAAGTCGTAAAAGAAGTCAAACTTAAGCTCAGCTCAAATCTCAAAGCTCAAGTAAAAGCGGATGATGACCCATCTTCTTGCTCTCCTTTTCCTTTCCCTTGAAACTCGTACTCTTCTCCGTCTTGCTTCTGAAAATACTCAAAGGCGTCTTCTTTTTCTTTTCCTTGGGTTCCTTTTCTTCTTTCTCTATACGTTCCGTTCGCTCAGAAGCAAGCGATGCATTATCCTCATCTTTCTTTGAGCGACTCGATCGATGACTCTTAGAAGACTTTGTAGATTTCGAAGTCTTCGTGCGAGAAGTACGGATGGATTCAACATCGTCATCTTTAGACTTGACGGAAGGTTCGTACTCGGAAGGACTACCTCTAATGGGAAGAGTTTTGGAACGACGAGATTTACTCGTCAAGCGACTCATGATGCTTCTCTTTTCTTCTTCTTCTTCACTCTCGTCAATTCTTTCCTCGGCGGCACGTTGACGGATTCGCTCTGCGTGGCGACTTTCCTTTTGTCGTGCTGCGGTGGGGGTAATGTATTCACCATCTACACTTGTGCCTACACTTTCTATTTCTGCATCGGCGATACCGCGACGCCAGATATCGATGCTGCTTAGTTCTTCCTCGTAGGCCTCGTAGGGCATCGCTTCTTCGTACTCATGGTGTATGTCTTTGGGTTCCATGAATCCGGGTGTGTCGGGATAGTTGGGGGTAGCGGGGAGGGCTTGCATGGCCATGGGAGCTTCCAGTGGTTTTTCAGGAGTGGCTTGTAGTTTCTTGATGATTTTGAAGCCGTTGAACATGACGACTGTGACGCCTAGAGCGACGCCTCCGGCGATAAGAAATTGAGGAGATGCGAGGAGGGCGAAGATGGCGGGGGAACTGGCTTTGAGCATGGGGAGGATGGAGGGAGACATTTTGGTGAGGAGGGAGGAAAGCTCGGCGAGGGTGAGAGCTACGGCGGCCATGGCTTCGGGGTTGGCTTGGAGATTCGACATGATAGCTGTGGCGGTGTGGTGAAGACATTGGGCTTCGATGAGAAGAGTATCGAGTTTACTCATTGTTTCGTCGAGTTCTGCTGGGAGTTGTTGCGGGGCGATTGGCTCTTCGTATTCTGGCTCGGGGTCAGATTCAAAGTGATGGGCATCTCCATATGCCAAATCCATATCGATTGAGTCATCATGAAGATCAGGTACGGAAGTTGCACGTGGGACTAATTGTCCGCTGGTATACGTAGCAGGAGCTGTTTCTCTCCTTACGAGATGCCCTGGCATGGGAGGAGCAGCTTCCATCTCTGTATGTCTCCGCGCGAGACTCAATTCCGTTTCGGCGAATGGTTGGCGATACATGGCTAGAGGGGGGTCATCATAAAATCCCTCTTCGGGATCTTCGTAATGGGTTTCCGCAGGCTCATATTGAGTGGGAGCTTTGGAACCATGAACCGAACGACTTCGTTTCGATCGATGAGATCGATGTGAACGTTTGCTTGCGAGACTTTGCATATCTTCTTCCTCGTCCAAATCATCGAAATTAAATTCCTGGCGAGTTCTCGTGTGGGAACGATGAGAACGATGGGAGCGGCCACTGGCCAAACTTTGCGTATCTGGGAATTCCTCATAGTTATTGATGGTAAGAGGAGGACGAGACGCATCTCTCGGTTCCTGACGAGAAGAATGAGAACGATGCGAACGATGAGATCTATGAGATCTTCTTGAAGCTATCGATTGTGCATCATCTCCCCCTCCTCCTCGTGCCTCTTCAATTTCATATCGAGCTTCGTTGAGGCGTCTCTGTGCTCGATATGATCGTGCTTCTTCCCGAAGATAATGTTCTTCTCTCAATTGTGCTTTCTTTTCTTGGTATGCGGCTTTGGCATCTTTGAAGATGTTTACGAGTTGTTTTCCCTATTTTTTTTCCAAAAATGTGCTGGTTAGTCACCGCATCATTTTGTATGTGTGTAACATCGGATGAGGGGAATTCCAAGGGAAAACCTCGGGAAAATGAAAGAAATACTTACAGTGCTGACTACTTTCCCCGATTTATTGATAATGGTAACGGTTTCTGTGATAGGAGGAGCCATTTTTGAACGTATGATATGGGTATATTTTTTGAGAGAAAAAGAGAAGACCGGCTTCTTATTTTTCGGAATGTGGTATCGTAAAGAAGATTTGGAAAAGAAGTGAATGGAATTTTTGGCTTGTGAAAAGAATAAGAAGTAGATTCCCTGAGCGAGCAAGCAAGCAAGCAAGCTACTTCTTTACCGCCAAAAAAGTGCGGTGAAGAGCTGATGGCGGGGGAGATTTAAGTGGGAATTTTTTGGGGAACGAGAAATGTAGGACGTGAGAGAGTCCGTTCCGTCAAGCAGGTACGTCAAGCAGGTAAGTAGGTGGAAAGAAAGGAAAAGGAGGTAAGTATGGCAGATCAACTGAGGAAATTCGTGGGACAGCGAAGAGTGAGGGATTTGAGAGGTTTATTTGTATGGATGGGTTTGTGAATGATGTTAGGATGGAGATGAATACCTGTGGAGAACTGGGTCACGACTTCATTTAAGCATGTAGGTATACCTGGGTTTGTAGGTATATGTATTAGTTATATGTATAGAAGTATACAAGTCCACGATGATAGATGGGATGATCGGATTTCAAGGTGCCTTTTGGAAGGTTTGGAGGGGACATATCGGAGAATCAAACCGATTTCACATAATTTATGTGGAGTGATAGTTATTTTGCAAGGGGGAGTTTTAGTCTTTCCTTGAGAAATGTTGTGGATTCTTTCTTTGGGTGAATGAATCGTGATGGCAATGGCATCCTGGATTCTTGGTTCATAAATAGTAAAAATACTTATGGGGATGAAAATCTCCTATCGATCAATGAGGCGAGAGCTTCTTCTTTCTAGCTCTCGAACTTACCCCTTCATTGGATCATCATCTTTTATTCCCCTCCACTAATATCTAAAATCACTTCGAAATCATTGGATTCAAAAATTGTCAAACCGAAATCGTTCTTCACTAAGAAGAGGAACGGGATCAGTGTATACGGAAAGGAATCCTTCTCGTCCAATAGGACATCCCTTCCCAAAGCAACCTCATGCATGAAAGTGGAAATGTGAATCTCCATCGTGCATCGTGTCGTCGAACTTTTGGTCCAACAGCAAGATTTGTTAGGCTTACATGCATCCAAGTCACCTCTTCCTTGGAAAGAAAAAAAAGCTTACTCCCTAGAAGAATTAATCTGTGCTATTAAATCATATACCAATCTTTTATGGACTCCGAAGCATGCGAGGACGAAATTCAACGTCCTGTCGCTTACCGCTATGGAGCCATTCGGCGCCGGCGGTCTCCCGCTCGCTTCTGTACGTTGTGTACGCTTGCACGCAGGTCTTTTGATGGAGACGAGCGTGGAAAATAGAGGAATTCATGCAGGAGAGAGGAGTGCAGTAACATATGTAGAGTCCAATGATTTACATTACGGGAGGGAAGACGTACTCCATAGATACATATGCACTCTATGAATCACGACGAAATGGATATGAAAACCCGTGAAGTTGGTAAGATAAGATGGGACCGATAGAACCTACAGGACCGACAGGACCGATAAGAAACTTTCAAGACTGGATTTCTCCACGTTTGTTTTGAAACAATAATGTCGTGGCACCAACTGCTTATTTGTGGCTGTGTTAGTATTTTACGAAAGCATGTGACTGAATAGTTAGTAGCACAGATTAGTTTCTTGTTTTGTCTTTGGTTTGGAAATTAGGTTTTTGTTTGTTTTTGCCTAAATTCATGAGCATGAGATTTAGTAATCTTTGTCGTTTTGAACTTTTTTCATCATATTCGTGGCTTGCGGTTCGGATAACTGCTTTGTTTTCGGCACGGTACATTTGTGATTGGGCTGCATGTTAGGCCGGGTAGAAATTTCCAGTCTGATCCTCCGGCGTTGAGAGAGATGATCCGAGTGAATCATTTGCAGTTGACAACATCGTTCCTCGATATGTTTAAGAATGTTATTTAAGTAAAATGATTGTTCGTCAAACGGTGTATATATGCGGTAGTTTCGTATCAGAGTACCGAAGATACTTTTTCGGATTCTATTGTCACTCTCCTTTTGCTAGATGGTGAGAGCTGATTGAAAAGAAGAGGGGCGTAATTGATTGCGATTCTTTGTTTTCTTTCGATTCATTGAGAATTGTAGTAAACCTCCTAGGCAGAACTGAACAATCAGAGAGCTCTCATAAAATATGCACGATTCCGGCACATGGATGATGTTGAGTAAAAATTGCATGACTGAGGGGAAAGCGACTGCATAGCCCGACAGGCAGACGCTGAAAAGCGTTTGCTTTTCTACCTAGATAGTATCATTGATATCTCCCATCTATTTATCAGCCAAAGGAACCTCTTCGTCAGTTCTGGATATATTCATTTGATTCATCCTCTCACATCCATCACCTACACTCAAAATGTCCTACCAGTACACCCTCCACGGGACCCAAGGCCCAGGAAGACATCATTTCAAATGCTGGGAAAATCAGGTCTTCGTTCAAATGCGTCGTAATACCAAAATTCCATACCTACATCTCTATGCTCTACCTTTGCCACGCGATCATCAGAAACGCAAATCTGTTGGAGAACTTGACGGGCTGGATCTAGAAGATGCCAAGAAATTACAACAGGCAGCCGATGAGATTATTGCGCAAACCCGAGACGACTTCGTGCAGAAATTAAGTGATAAGGAACGTGCGAATGGGAGATTGATGTTTGAGGGGATTAAAGAGCTTTCTGAGGATGCGAATTATGCGGACGTTAGTGACCCATCTTTCATCTTCTGCCGTTCGAGTTATTGTTCAGTGCGTATACTGATATAAGAGATTTGAGAATAGGCTTTCGCAGGCTCGAAGATGAATCACAAGATGAGACGTCTATGGGTTGTTCTCAGGGATGAGTTCGTGTTCTTGTCGTATGGTGACGATGGGAAGAGCTCTTGGGGCTGTCTAACACGTTCTATCGTGTTTCGCTGCTTCCTGTTGCTCGCCACGTTTTTTGAGCAGGTGTTTTCGGGTTTGGAAGGATTGAGACTTAAGTTTCAAGGTGATGGCGTACATGCGGAGCCAGTAGGCGAGGTGTGAGGATGGAAGTTTTCACGTTCGAAAAGCTGGGAAAGTTAAAAACTCTATTCTATGTTATTCAATAGTCTGCTCTTTGCCTGGTCTTAATTAGTCTGCTCTATGATAGTCGAATGACTACGGATATTGAAAAGTCCTGAGATTTTATAAACTCATGAACGTTTGAAAATCTAGTGTACTTTGAATTGCATTTTCCGCCCTGTCCATCATATTCGTTACTATCGTCATTGTGGTAGCTAACTTATTGAGATCGAACATCCCAAGAAATTCTCCAAACATCATATTAAATGTCTATTATGCATTTGAACTATCAAACCCCACATTTGGGAAGCACTTCCCCATTTTTTCCCTTCGCCAGTTTCTTCAAGACAAGCCTTTCTGATTTATCCAGCATTTATCTTTCACCAATTTTTTCTCTCTCGGAAACGGATTCTTTAGACGTAAATGTCAAAATAAGTCCGGTGAGGACATTCAACCCATTCGCAGTGACATCAAACCATTAAATCCATCACTTCATTCTTTTAAAAGTCACACAAGGCATACAAGCTCAAGTCAGATAGTGGAACGCGTGTTTGGAGATCGTAATGCGTTATCTAAACCTGACCATGAGTTCCTTGCCAGCTAATCATCTGAAATGATTAAGCTCCAAGTGGATGGGATAGAGCACACCCAACTCGTTTGTGTCCTAGATACCTAGGGCAACAATCGAAAAGTCTCAGGTGTAGTTCTTCTCATATGTCTTCCTCCCCATTAATCTAACTTTCTCTCCTTCGTTCCTTCCTTCCCCTCTCCACCAACCAAGTTTAGCAAAAACGACACCGCGCATTGATTCGCGGAGCCTGGATGATATTCTTCGGTGCTGGGCTTCTGCAAAAGCCACTTCTTCCGGATGGCGTGGTTCGAGCGCCGCATTGTATTGGAACTTCTGTGTGTGCGTGACCACATACGCTAGAATAGTAAACGTACCAACCGCAAAAGCAGTTGTGGGGATTGCTAGGGCTGTTGAAGCGGTGGTTGCCGACATCCATTCCTATTTGACCAGGCTGAATAGGTTGTTGTACTGCTGCCATTGCTGCGATTGATAGGTGTGTAATGGTGTTGAAAGCTTTGGATTGATGGTATGAGAGTTGATTTAGGAAGTTCCTGCCATCCTTGCGATACTTATAATGATGATAGCCAATTTGGCCAACACGCATTCACATTTCCTCTTCTATCCGCATATTTTTATCTGCATAGTCTCGTCTCTGAATGTGTAGCATCTTGTGAATCATCTTGCGCTTATCTTCGAAAGGAGATGGAGTGGATGAACTAGATGGTTGATACCTTACCAATAATAATAAGATTATAGACACCAATAACTTCATGTTAATATTCACAATCTTCCCATTGCCATTCGCCTGGCGGCGTCGTATTATTCACCTTTCAGCCTATAATATCAATAGGTTTAAACCCCATCCTTTGATAAGATGAGGCTCGACTCGTTTCTAGTTTGTGAATGGGCCTACCTAATACTTTTTTATTGGTATACTAGGTGGATGTTGCCGCGAAGAGAAATCGTTGAGTCAATCTTCGAACTCATCCGTGCCGGTCATGTGAAAGTCACGAGTGAATTGATTTTCGAGCGCATTTAGATTACCTAATCTTATATAAAGGTACCTACAAACCGTACACAATCAACAAATTTTCTCTATTTATTAATCTTTTCTATCCATCTTCTATTACTTGTCGATAATTCCAACTTCGATTTTCAACATGATCCCACTTGAAGATAGATTTTGGTCTGAGGGTCAAAATCACCTTGGCGATGGTATAAATGCTTACTGCAATGTCTGGGATTGGGATCAATTGCGCATGATAAAAATAAAAGGCACACCGAAGGTGTTTCCGATTGATAAGGATAAAGAGGTCGCTATTCTGGCGCAATTTGCTGATTATCTATCTCCGGAAGTTCGCGCGGTTGAGGTTGATAATGATGGACTCATCTGTGGGGTCTCAACAGACCCAGAGGAAGATGAGACAGTCTTCATTGCTTATCCTCCATATTCAACTATTGAATCGCTGGCTGGATGTCGCACAATCAAGCATTCCCAGCTGCAAGAGCTCGATCGGCTTGCACCATTTGTCGACCTTTCATCATACAAAGACGAGAATCAGAATACCCGAATGGTTGCCTTCAAATTCAATGTTTTGGAAAAACCACTAAGAGTACGAATGGCTTGGAACGAAATCAACCTTCTCAGAAGTCTACCACCGCATCCTAATATAGTACCATTTGATAGCGTCGTCCTCGAAGACGTGGAGTCTCGTGTGATCGGGTTCACAACGAAATACATCCCAGGTGGCAGTCTCAGCAACCCAAAGACACCTTTTCGATTCGAGTGGTTAAAACAACTTACTGAGGTCGTCGATTTCCTGAACCTAAACCTGGGAATCATGCATCAAGATATTGCACCGCGGAATTTAATGATCGATCCCGACACACAAAAGCTTCTTTTATTCGACTTTGATAGGGCCGCATGTGGAAAAGTATGGTTGATGGACAATCGTGATGACGTTAGTGGTGTAGTGTACGCTGTACATGAGCTTATAACAAATGACTCATACTTCACTGGGATACCCCATTGGGAACGACATATGGATATGGTTCAGAATATCCCAGAATGGGTCTGCAATCGTGAACTGGATGCTGACGTCTCTGTATTCCGCGAGTTTCTGGATGAATGGGTACGGAAACGACAATCTGGCGGCATCATGGAACAATATCTCAAAGCGCCTAACCGACCTACTTGGCCGGAAGAGCCACCTTCTGTATCTGATTACGACGTTCCTTGGCAATTTGGGAAAACGATGGATGGAGAGCCGATGTACAGACCGGGAGTACGATTGAGACGCATTGCAATGGAACTTGGGCAATATTGCTTTCGATGGGAGAGACCACCGCAGAGCATATTGTCAAAAAAGTCTCGCGAGGAGAATGCGGATGGAATTGACCAGAAAGCACACAACGATGATTAAAAGAAAGCTACAGGTAAGACTCCCATCATTAGACTGCTTGGCAGCTTTTAAATGTTTACTAGTTTGACATTTCACCTCAGTTGCATCCACTGAAGCCGATAACAGCATTGTCTATTTGGCTGAGAGACTTGAAAACTTAACGTAACGGAATTTCGAAAATGGAAATCTACAATCGTATCGCTGATTAGGAGATTATAAAGCTCTGATGGATAGATGGTCAAGAATTGCTATTAGGTCTGGTGTTATGGAAGGGAAGGTGTGAATGGAAGGAGTACAAAATGGCTACTAGGTATGTAAGTAGCTATCCGGGTGATTTTCGGAGAATTAGCAGATTGACAGGGTGGGGTAGAACGATTTTTCTCCTCTTCTCAATATTTGCCCAGCTCGAGCCTAGATATTCAATACCATTGGAATTTCTCCCGTAAACTGAATCCCGCGGTCTTTCGGCTGATTGATGTGTACTGTTATCTTCGGCATCTCAAACATTATGCTTTGATAGAACCGTTATCGTCGGAAGTGGGGTTAATGCTTGTCTGCGGGGATACATAGATTCACACGGATTGCCGTACGAAGTAAAGATATCCACGCCAAAGATATCAAAGCCAAAGATATATCAAGCTTTGGTTTCCTCATTTGCATGCCAAAAAGTACTTCGGTCTGAGCCGTAACTATTGTTCGTCAGCTCAGGTCACGCTTGACCAGTCCAAAGAAGCTGTCTTCAATCATGGCAATGTCACGTGTGAGGGAGTATATCTCCCATCCCTACGAGCATCCAGGAGAGAGAAAGCTTGTACAGAAACTAGGTGAGCTCTTGAATCTATCATGCATGGCTCGTGCAATTAAATCTTCATTGGTCGAAATTTCTAATACTTACAGACTTCTTCATTTTAACATTTTGCTGTCTATCTTATTTTACGAATTATTTGGATCGATCGAATTTGGCAAATGCGTATGTTAGTGGAATGAAGGAAGAGTTGGGGTTCGTGGGTAATCAATATAATCTTATTAATACCGTTTTTACTGTCGGGTATGTATTAGGTTTTTGTTCCAGTTCTTTATATGCTCTGACCGAAGTGTTTCTGATTGACAGCTGAATTCTCAACCCCCGTGAAACTGGTTGTGATTTCGGGTACTAACCTATATGAAACTGGTTATTTTGTGTGTGTTCAGCTATACTAATGGTGTTCCAGATACATCATTGGACAAATTCCTAGTAATATGGCACTCTACTACATCAAACCTCGCATTTTCTTCCCATCAATGATGGTTCTGTGGGGGTGTCTCACTATGATCACTGCATCTGTTCATCATCCTCGGGATATAATGGCTATTCGCTTCTTCCAAGGTCTTGCCGAAAGCAGCACATTCGTCGGTACCCATTACATTCTCGGATCATGGTACACTCCTCGAGAGCTCGGAAAGCGTAGCGGCATCTTTACTTCTTCTGGTCTTGCTGGTACTATGTTTGGAGGTTTCATCCAAACTGGGATTCATTCATCCTTGAATGGTGCGAAAGGAATGAGCGGCTGGCGCTGGCTGTTTATCATTGACGGACTTATCACCCTCCCGATTGCCCTTTATGGCTTTCTTCTTTTCCCAGATACTCCGACCACAACATCCGCATTCTATCTCACCCCGACCGAGCGTGATCTCGCTAAAACACGTGTTCCAGAAGTGCCCGAACATCGTCTCTGGAATTTTGCATTTCTCAAAACTGTCGTCACATCATGGTACTGGTATGGATTCGTTATTCTGTGGATTATTGCTGGAGAAAGCGAATCTTTCTCTTCAAATTCATTGCTTTCATTATACATGAAATCCACAAGCAAATATACAATTTCTCAACTCAACAACTACCCTACTGGTGTTCCAGCTGTTGGTATCATATTTACCCTCTTCTGGGCAACTCTTACAGATTTTCTCAACGGCAAACGCTACCTTGTCGCTTATTTCATCGCCATTACCGGAATCGTAACTTCCGCTATGATACTCACAACTTCCAATGTAGCAACAATATTTGCAGCATACTATTGGGCTGGTTCTGTCTACGCTTGTCAAGCCACCTTCTTCGCATGGACCAACGAAGCCATGAGATTCGAAAATGACGCCTTGAGAGCAATAGTGATAGCGAGTATGAATTGTGGTAGTAGTGCTGTAAACGCATGGTGGAGTTTACTATTTTACGGCGCGGTTGAGGCGCCTAGATTCACAAAGGGAATGTGGGCGATGATTGGAACGTGTATTGCTCTTGCAATCTGGACCACGGTTTTGTTGTGGGGCTTAAAGCGAATAGACAGAAAAAGAGAGGCTACTACAGTGGTGGGAAGAACGCGGGCAGAAAGTGATGATCTAGAGGTGGCTGATATTGGCGAAAGGCATTTGGATAGTAAGATACATTGAGACCATTGGGGTTGTGATTTATTGTCGCTCGACAATATCTTAATTTCCGCGAACATGATGGGATCGCGATTGTATATTTCATATTTGAACAGGATGAACATCATTAAAACAATAAGTGGATGCACGAAATACCCCAATGAATCATTTAATCAGGAGAGACTTCTTGAAACAAATTCGATGAATTGGCTCGGCCTTTGCTATACCATTACTCGGATACATAATAGGTGTAGAATAAGCATTCACACTAATCATAAATATGTCCTCTTCACGATGTCCTCCTCCCTCGCAAGAAATTGCTTGAATGTCTTCAACGGAACGAGCCTAGAAAGTTCTTCTATATCGACATAAACCGACATGTATCTCATGGCAATTTGCGAATTAACAAAGACGTTCGAGTCTTTTTGCTTCGTGATCTCCTCTTCTGTCATAAATACCGCTTCAAGAGGCCGTTGAATGACTTCTCTAAGCCGATTAAGTATCTCCGGGATAGTCAACAACTCACTAGCCAGCCCGATTGCACATCCGTGAAACTTTTCAGGGTCTTGAAATGCTGCCGTAGCAACTTTAGCAATATCGACGTGGTCAATCAATGCAAACTTTCCCTCGGCGGTCATGGCTGTTGTCCACGTACCCTTATCTCGCAACTCGGGGTATCTATGTACTTTCGGCTCTAGAAAATTCGCCATGAAAAAGGCAGGACGGAGAAACGTCCAATGTTCAAAATTCCCATCAATAACAGCCTGCTCCACTCCCTTCTTTCCCGCGAGGTGCTTGGCCATGAAGGACTTGGGTGTAATGTGTATCCCAGTACCAAGCATACTCACTCCGAGACTCGTAGATGCAACGACCTGCTTGACACCTACCTCCTTTGCGACTTTGAGAATTTTCTCGGCTTGTCGACGCTCATAATCTAAATCGTCGAGCTTGGGATGTAGACACAGGAAGAGTTTCTCGCAGCCGCTCATAGAATTGCGGAGGGCATCCATATCGTCCCAATCGCTTTGTGTAAACTGTACCCCACGATTCCTCAATGTGCGTGCTCCAGGTGACTCGAGGTTGCGCGTTGTTGCATGGATATTCCAGTCAAGGGAGCGGTTTGTGCCAACAGCTCCGCGATCTTGACTGCCTGTGGCACTGAAGATCAAGGCGGTGTGAGTCACTGGAGACATGGTATTGAGGCCTCTTGCTTAAATGAATGTTAGATTCAATAATAGTTACGAGGTTTTTTGGGCATAGTGTGGCTTTTATGTTAAAGGACTCCCCTCGTTTGTGGGGAAGTCTGTACTGTAATTGTCCGAATTATTACGGGTCGTTTGGCCTATTTAGGAATATGCATGTACCCAAGTTAGTATTCAACTTTGAGGATATCTTTAAAAAGATTTGTTAAACTGAGGGTCTGGAAATCAATATCGTCAACAAAATAATTATTGCTATAAGTAAATTTACACCAGCTATTTGATGTTGAACGTGAAAAGCCGGATCTGAAGCTTATGAATTTCCACTCTTGAATAGCGTACCGTGCGCCCAACGCCAACAAGTCCTGATCTTAGACCTCAGTCTCCTGCCCTAGATTTTCACTTCAGAGCATATTATTCACAAGAAGTGACAAAAGCGTTCAAGACGCCCTTACCACTAGTCCCAATGATGAACTGATCACTCTCACATTTAAAGTCCTTTGAAGCAACGCCCTCAAAGTGGAAATCAAATCGTTGAACAAGAGCGGCAAGAAGCATATACATCTCAGCCCATACGAGACTAAAAATAATGTCAGCGACAGCAACTATAACATCAAGTCAAAAGGAGACATACTTCATGCCGAGACAAATCCTCGTTCCCCTCGAAAAGGGAGCATAAGTTTTGTCGTGCTTCCTTCGGACATCGATATCCATCCACCGCTCAGGATTGAAATGCATTGGGTCTGGATATAGTTTCTCATCCGTGTGCATTAACAGTGTCGTCATACTAATAGGTGTGCCAAAAGGGATACGCTATTTTCCATATGTGAGATCTCTATCGGGAGAAATTCTTGCTGATCGTCAAGCAATGGCAGGGCTGAGACGCATACCTTCCATAAATATTGATGATAAGTATGGGAGTTGCTCAAGTGTCTTTACTTCGACCAGATCAGAAGGAGAGATCGAGGCAGACGAAAGTTCCTTGCGTAGTCGATCGAGGATTTCAGGATTGTTGAAAACGCGGAAAATGATTAAGCGTAGAACGCTAGCAATTGTCTCAAAACCAGCTCCTGTCACTGTAGCTACGTCGTCAAAGACACGTTCAAACTTCTTGTCTTTGGCTGGAAGCTTGGACTCTAGAATTTCGTGGACTATAGTGCGGGGAGTCTTGTCATTTGGATCAGACAAAGCTATTGCGGCTAAAAGCTCTTTCGTATCATGTGTAGTTTCCTATAAAGATCTCGTTTATGATGAAACTTCACATTAAAATAGGATGGATTACCTTCAGATAGCGGAAAAAGGCCTTTGTACCATCATCAGCAACTTTAATAACCCAGTCTACCGGTATTGATTTCATAGTGGGACCAAACCAAGTAATATGCTTGGTTATGCGCCAGATGTGACCAGATCCTTGGAAGACATTTGTCATCCCAATATCAAAGTTTTCTTTATCAAGACTGTTAACGTGATTTATCATCGAGTGGACCATATCATCGAGTAGACCACTTTCACCTCAATTCACACTTTCAAACTTATATTATTCAACAACAACTAAATCAATTAATTGAAACTATAAAGATTCTAATAATCTAGAATCTATTAAATCATTTTGATAAGTCCTTATATTATACCCAGTCTTTCTATACTTATTATAATATTAATTAGAAAATGCTTTCTTATTAGAATTCCTTTTTTTTTGATACTTATTACATTAAATCTGAATATCAATCTTTTATTGAGATAATATATTAAAAGCCTTTTATTCAATAAATACTCCTTCTTAATGTAATTAAGTTTTTTTCGCATATTGATATTTACTTAATGCTTTATTTACTACTCGAAATATATAAATCTCTATATTCAAAAGTGTATTTTCATAAGCTAATCTTTCTATACCCTTAACTAAAACTAATATAATTTCAAATATAAATATAAAGAAACTTGATTAATAATAAGTTATTCGAGATTTTACTAAAATTGATTGTAAAAGAGTTTTAGATAGATTATAAGGAATTTGAGAGATCTATAAATCTTGATTAAAAAAGGGGGGAGTAGATATGCAATGTTACGGGGTGACACTAAGCCCTTTCTGTCCTATCCTGTTCTGCTATATATATGAGAGTAAAATAGAACTTCTAATTCTACCTCCTAGTCTTTTGGATATTTAGCTTAGTGGTAAAGTTTCTAAATACTTTTAAAGGTAATCCCATAACATTAGATAAAACTATTCTTGATTATAAGTGGAGCTGTATGGGGGGCCCACTTATAGCTTACAAGCCTTCATTGGTTTGGGGGCTAGCATATATAGATCCTGTCTGCCTGTTTGAATACCTGAGGTATTAGAATCCAGAATCCTGAAACCTTTTAGTAGGTAATAGTATGGAGACCATACCTTAAGGAGGAGGGTGGTGTTACAAGGTGATACTAAGCCCTTTCTGTTCTGTCCTGTTCTGCTATATATGTGAGAGTAAGGTAGAACTTCCAATTCTACCTTCTAGTCTTTTGGGTGTTTAGCTCAGTGGTAAAGCTTCTGAATACTCCCAGAGGTGATCCCGTGACATGCAAACTCGAATATCCAGTTTCGAAAACACAGTTTCAGGATCGAAAGGTATTAAACCTATTCCTCGAAACCCTGATTTCATATTCTGAGAGGTAATTGATTCTTCATATATAGCTTTAAAAGTTATAAAGAATTCAATTTTTGAATATAATTGATATATACCTTAATAAATCTATCAATTTGATTATTATATAAACATTTCAGATTATTAAAACAGTCAATATCAAGTGGCTAAATTAAATGATTTGAATGTGGTGATAAATTTAAATATATAATATTATTCTTTTTGTAGTATATTTGAAAAGCTATTGATTCATGGCTTTTATACCTATCTAATACTAATATTCGATATTTACCCTTTTTTCGATTCTTAGTATACTTATTGAAATGTTTTAACCATTCTAAACCCATCTCATTGTTTGTTCATCCATTAGATATAGGTTTAATAATTCATTTTGCAAAAAGATTGGTTTCGATATACTAACTGAAGAGATGAATTTGTCCCTGAACCACTAGAAATAAGGGAATAATTTCACCCTCCCCATTTCCGTATATTATTACTATAGCTCATTCTCGATTGCCTAATTATATTAATTTACTTCTATTATATCTCTTAATATTAGTTATAATCATTCCAGAATATATTATATTTATTATAAAATCTGTTTCATCGAAGTTATAGAAATCGCTATCCAAAATACTATCACGGATCGCACCCAATCGCAGCTGCAATCGCTCACGTGCGCGCTTGCGCACATGCACGATCACGTGTACATAGCTAGTATATAGGAACACTTTACAAGCGCTTTGCTCCCAATTCTGTAATTATAAATTCTAAGAATAAATTGTACCCTACTCTCATAGTTCTTTTAAAGCAAAGTGTTACATTATCTACAATTCATTATACAATTATACAGCCATCTGGTAGCCAATCAAATAATATCTTATAATTATAATATCTTCTTGGGTATATTAAGGACATTCGATATTATTTATAAGAAAAGAGCTGATTTCGAGTAAATCTATTCAATAGAAAATAACAAATCCTCAATATATAGAGTTACAAGTATCGCTATTATATCCAACCTATTTATCTCAAAAAGACTCTATTGCTTTTCTCCTTTCACCGGCTGAATACCCCTAGCTGATAATAGTCAATCTTAATGGAGTAATGGTTACAGTCCTTACGGTTTTAATATAAATACTGATAGATATGAAAAGGTAAACAGTCTAAAAACAACTCCTCGATCAAGATATTAACTTTCAAGAGTAGTATATCGATATACACTCTTCTATTACAAAAAGAATAAGTATCGACTCTTAAAGACTTTAAGAACTTGTAAAACAAAATTGTAAGACTTAAAGACGAATTGCTATAGTATAATTTTAATACTATTTATTTATCTCAATCTTCAAAATATCGATAGCAATATTATACAGATTCCCTTGCGAATCACAAAGTTCGGACTCCTGATATTCTAATCGATTTTATTGAGAGGGTATCTTTTATTATTAGAAAAAGAAAGAACAAAAAAAACCCCTATTTGCAAAGTCAGTCTTTACAATAATCCCTTTCGAATATCAATAGCAAACCCTTTTCAAATCTGATTGCCTTGTTAAGCAATCTACAAATTCATTAAATACTTCATTTTCATTTATCTATTATTATAATAGAGTATTCATATATTTCGAAGCCTATTAATCTTTTATTCAAATTCAAAAATAATATAAAGCTAAAAGCAAGCCTCTAATAGCTATTGATTACCAAGCAACTCGAACTTTACAAAAATTCACTTATCTCAAAAATATAATGACGATTTTATATAGTAAATTAAACAAAAGAAAAGATATAAGAATATATATTCTCATTGTATATTCAAATCCCCTATTTGATAGAATAGCAATTGATCAATCAGCTTATAATCATTTACAAGAACCCGGCTAAAGCCGATTATATACAAACTGAGTATGAATACTAGATTATACCTAATAATACTCAACAAAGAAACTTTCTAGTATAGTATTACAGATTTAGATTATTAGTTATATAGGCGGAAATCACCAATCCAATAACTTTCCTTTATAATCTGGAAAGAAAAATATTCGATTTCCTTTAATAAGCTATTAGCCTTTATATTAATGAATATTATATTATTAAAAACCTAGCTATTAAGCTTATTGAGATTAATAAATTCAAAGTTATACTTCAAGAATATAATTATTACAAAACAACTAAAGAGATATCTTTTAGAAAGCTATTTAGTAATACCGATTCGTCAACTACCCCTAGAAGCACTCTCCGTTCATCAGGTAATTCAAATCTATCTATTCAGTTTCACACTCAATATCCTCCTTGTATTCCTATTGACTATATAGAAACCTTCAAGCTAAACAATATTCTATCTCTAAGAAATAATTTCAATCGTAGTATTATTGCCCTTATATCGAAAATAAATTACAGTTTCATGCTATATATAGGTAATATAAGTATTATAACCAAGATCCAAGAGATTAGAAAAAACAAAGAGTTCTATAATATAAAAGAAAATACTAAAAAGAATATAAACCAAAAAGTGCAAGTGGAAGCTATTGAGTCTATTTGTATTGCTGAAGATCAATATTTAAATCAATACGTTTAGATAGAAGTTCCCTTTTAAATACAATCCGGGATATGAGATTCCTCGATTTGATAAAACTAATAAGAGGTGATTCTATAAATCTATTATATATATTTTCGAAGAACGGATATTTATATAATACTTAATCTCTTATAGATTCCAAAGCGAATAGCTTTACTTTTATTAATAAAATACTTCTTTTATTATTATTCTCTATATTCAAATCTTACTTTATATTACTCAAACTATCAATTGTATCACGGGGCAGGCGGGCTGGATAGAGTTCTAATAACTTTGCCCTAATCTGGCAAGGCTATACTGATTCGGGTAATAGATTCAGATTGAGGATTAAGACGTAGCTCAAAGAGCTACAATACAGGATCTTCTGAATTGAAGATATACGGAATTCTTATAGCGAACTAGCCCGATTGGGCTCTAGTTCGTTTGTATTCCGGTGCAAATGTTCCTTTCAATCCTCTCCGATAGAATCAGCATATTACATGAGCTCATACCGTGATATTATTCTCCTTTTAAGGGTCGAGCTCTATCGAGGCGGTACATCACGATTTACAATCTACAGGTAGATAGGATCTGATCAAACGGGATTGGATTTATTAGAGTATTTATAATGGAAATTGCAGATTAGTTCTTGTATATCTTTCAGATAGCTTATAGATTCTTTGATTGGTATATTATAACCAACCCAATAGATAATATATTTCAAATAAGGTCCTTTACAATCTCTTCTTTTTTAATGGGAGTTTAGGATTTCGATAATCTCAAAACGCTCAAGACCGTTTATTTCTATAAAGGGTGATAACGGATTATACTATTTAGGAATAAGATTATTATATATAGAATATAGTAGGTTGATATAAAAAACAGAATGAATCTTTATTAAAACTAGAAGCTTTAGTTTATAAGTATAGGAATCTATTGGATATAGGATTTTGAAGGGCCTAAGGTTCTTTCAATCGAGCTTCTTTTGTGAATACAGAGTCTTAATATTTCTAGTATTCAGCTAGATCAGATTATTAGGTAAGTATTTATAGGCAGGGGAATAGTGGGTATTGATATTCTTTGAGTATTAGACTTGATTAACAGTTAGTTTGGTTTGTAGGTGTGAGGAGATGGCTTCTATTTTAGCGACGAATTCTTTGGCATTTTGTATGGCAGGAT